TGGCAGTCAGCTTTGGCTCAGAAACTTTTTACAAATAAAAACCAGAATAAAATCCTGGCTACGCCACTAATATCATTGATTACTAGTTTTATAGAAAACCTACGTTTTTATTAATTTCTAGGTGTTATCAACTATAACGGCATCAATGGGTGTCTAAAATGTACCACCGAAGGAGAGTATTCACATACATCACGGACAGTAACGCTTCCAAACATAAAATGTGCCCCGAGAACTGATGAAAAGTTCAGATTGAAGCAATACGGCAAACATCATAAGCTACAGGAGTCACCAGTTTTGAAAATACCTGGCTTGGATATAATTCAGGATTTCGTAGTGGCAGATTCCTTACATCTTCTTGAACTTGGCGTTATGAAGCGATGTCTTATCGGCTGGAGAGATGGCACTTTAGGATATGAAGGAAAGATGTGTGCCCTTGATATACAAAAACTCTCTATTGCTTTGTTGAACACTAAACTCCCTTCAGAGATTCACCGATCGATGCGAGGAATGGACTGTTTGTCATTCTGGAAAGGTGTAGAATGGCGAAGTTTTTTGAATTACGTTGGAATAGTTGTTTTGAAGGACATTCTAAAAGACCATGTTTATAAACATTTTTTGCTTCTTTTTGTAGCAGTTACGATTTGCTCCAATGATGTTTATAAGCATCATATTTCAACTGCTCAACTGATGTTCGAAACATATATAGAGGAATTCAAAAATATTTACGGTGCAGAGTACATAACGAGCAATATTCATAACTTAGAACATGTTGTTGCAGACGTTAAAAGATTTGGATCTTTACAAACGATTTCGGCATACCCCTTTGAAAATTCTTTGTTTCAAATTAAAAAACTGTTGCGTCAAGGTAACCGTAATTTAGAGCAAATTGCAAACCGAATCGCTGAAAGGGATGCAATTCTCTCTAATTGCAATGATGAAAACATTCAAGATAATTTCCCTAGAATCAAAAATCGGGGCAAAATCACAGATCTACGTATTAACGACGGATTTTTGCTAAGTAATATTTTTAGAAATGCATGGTTTATGACAAAGAGCAGGGAAATCGTAAGAATGAAATCAGCACTCTATGATGAAAACCACAACATAATTATCTCTGGAAGATCAATTTTACACAAGGAAGACTTTTTTGTTCTACCTATTCGCTCGTCATTCCTGCATATTTATGTAGCAAACAAATACAATTTGAAACGCAAAGATCACTACAACATAAACGACATTTTCTGTAAGCTAGTAGCAATTCATTACAACGAAACATACACCGTCTTTATACCATTGCACCATACCATTCGAAACATTTAAACTGTCATTTGCTAATAAAACGCTGCCAATGCCACAAATTCTAAAATTATCTTGAAGCCTGAGCTATCTGATATGGTTTTTCATGGGCTACATGACTATGGAAAAATTTCCATGCGAATTGATTGTATGCCAAAGTTATTCTTAAAAAAATGTCTAAAAAACAGGGGATTTTGCAGTATGTTCGATTTTTAAAAATGTTTGACTTATTCAACGGAAAGTTGTAAGCTGCTCATCAGATAGCTCAGACTTCAAGATAATTTTAGAATTTTTGTTTGGACCTGTTAAGCGGTTTGTTCTTTGCACTAGGATGGCTCAAAAATAGGGTGGCCCAAAACTTTGAACCTTAATATCTCCGTTAGAATAGAGAATTGAGGTATAATGTAGAACAATTGCTTGCTCAGTTAAAGGCCATCTACTACCCTTTTCAGTATTGACCATGACATACCAGTCACCCTGTATTACAATACCTTGCTTTACACCAACTGCGGCCATCGTAGGCTTCCTTGCGCGATGATGAGAAGACGACTGTCTCAAACCCTTTGTCTCACTCCTTTTCTTCGCGTTTTTTGTCATTGTCTTGAAAAATGTTTCCATCATTTTAACCGAAAAACCATCGTTCACACTCTTAACGATCGCAAAAAACACATTTTGTATGTTTTTGCAGTTTTGAATGGAGCATTTTACACTCTCTCCACGGCTCGCACCAGTCCAGGAGCAATTGGGCATGAACTTTCTATCAAAGAAATAATCAATGATTTGATAGCAAGTATTCAAACCATTGCAGTCATCACCATTCTGGCCAATGATGTTTCGAATGAATTTCATCTGTAAGGAAAATATTGAAAAATAAATCATGTTAGTAAGCTAGAAAGAAATGAATGATTTTCAATAATGTCAATCTACAACGACAATGCAGAGACAGGGTTGAGAGGAGGGTGGAGGGGTTCTGGTGTAGCACACGTGCGGCTTATGAGTAAAGGGCCATCCATTAATTACGTAAGCCCACAGGGGGGGGGGGCTTGTCACTCCATATAAAAAGAATCAATTATATATGAAGAAAATCTTACACATGAGGGAGGGAGGGCGTAAAATAATCGAAAATATGCTTACGTAATTATTGAATGGACCCTAACACCAAAAACACGTTTTCAGGCAAACTAGGCAAATTTGTAACATATGCATAGACTTACCACTTCTTTAGCGTATTCCTTATCGTCCAGGTTATTTTCCAGTTGCTCCAATTCCGCGGCTGATGAAACAAGAATAAATTGGAATTCAGTTCCATAATCATTTTCCTGCTCCCTGGTTTGTTGCAACAACATCATTTTGCTGTCGAAATCGCACTTAACAGCTGCGATTGTTTTAGTAATTAATGTTTCCATGGCATTCAATGTAACATTAGTAACTTCTGCAATGATGTGGTCACGTTCTTCCTCAATTTTCGCAAAAATTTCTTTTTTAAGTTCGTCTCCGTCAATTAGTTGCTATAAAAAAGAGTTCAATTAGGTTTAGGTTTTTGTATAAAATAGCCATATACCTTTTTACCGTTCCACTCAAGGGGCCATGCTTTTATTACGTAAGTATATATCCCCCCTTTGTAAGGCTTTCTTCATATAAAATTGTTTTTTTTTTATATAGAGCTTTTAAAGGGAACGTCAAAAATATGGAGCGTAAGAAAAGGCTACACCCCCTGCCCCATAAGTGCTTACGTAATTAGTGCATGGCCCCCAATGCTATGGAGGAAATGATAAAAAATAGAGGAACATACAGCCTTCCTCCCATATCTGCGGTGGGTGTTTCCGCCCATCGGTATTTTTTGTCGTCCTTCAACTAATTGAGCTGATTTTGTATACGTGATAGGCAGCCGCTATTCCCATAACTGTCCCATCTTTGCTTGATTTTCAATTCATATGGGACAGTTTGCTTAGAAAATCCTATTGAAAACCCGTCAATTGGTTGAAGGACAACAAAAAAAAAGGGGGGTGGACGGTACCACCACAGGTTCAGATGGAATTTGTACAAGAAACTCACCGGCTCTGCATTCAAAATGTATCCAACGGGCTGTTCGGTATCGCTGGTTGGCTGGGACAGTTGAATCGGTACGTTGTCTGGCTGTGTGATGGTCGGTGCTTCGAGGATTTCAGCTGACACACCAGAACTTGAGGCTGGTGGTTCATTTCTTGGATGGGTGACAGAGTGATGCGACGTCGAAGGACCTGTTATGATTACTTTGTTATTGAAATTGTGTCCATTGCCGAATTTATTGCATAATCACCTTGATTCATGAGCTCGTTGAAATCGGTTTGAAATCCTTTGACGGCCCCCTTTGTTTTGAATTTCTTCGATGGTGGTAGCTGCTGAGAGTCCGAGTCCGTATGACCAGACATTTCAGCCGCCTCGAACTCAGCTTCCGAAAACGTTCTGATGAATCTTCTTTTCACGGCGCATGGGATCTTGCTCCATTTCGGGGTCGGTGTTGAAGACTGGTCCTTGACCAAAAGTTCGGCTTTTTTGTCTGGCCACATCAAAAACTTTCCGTTCACTCACTGGTGGGGTACAATGGACAGGAGTGGTCCTCCACACTCCATAGTTTCGACAATGGTAAAATGATGTTTGTTAACTATTGAATAGAATAAAGTTGCATTGATTTCTAATTCTTACAACATTTTATTTGCATTTACCTGTACTTTTCTTCATTTTAAAACAATCTTCACCACGACACAATGAATTGAAATCCACCAGACACAGAACTACAATAACAACTGTTGACAGTCAGAGTTTTCATGCTCCTCTTCTATATGCCGTTTTGTTTATCTGTTGCACAGCGATAAAGCAGCCTTGAGGTACACGACCAGTAAAAGTGACTCACGAAGTGAGTTAAGCATACTAACTTTTGGGTAATCCGTGTATATCAAACATAAATTTCACTATTTTTCGGCAAAAGTGAGTGAAATTTAAATAGGATTTCCATAGATAAACCAAAAGTAAGCAACGTAAACTCACTTTATGAGTAAATGTTGCTGCCCGTTTAGAAAGCAATTCATTTCCACTTTATGTCATGTTATTGGGTGACGACTATGCAGGCGCAAATGGAGCAGATAGTACAGTGTGCAGCTATTAATCCAAGGATGGCAGTTCAATTCCCAGATGAAAACGGGTATTTTCAGTCTATGTATAATTTACATAAATATATACAAATGAGTGTTCATAGACAAAAAGCCTAAATCACATACAGTGTATAACATCGTGAAAAGTATGCCATTCGATTATTTTGTTTTAAAAAATAAGGTTGAAAATTTCCTGAACAAAGGTTGAAATATTGCTGATCAAGTAATTATAACACCTTTTCAAAACAGCTTCATGTTCTAAAAATAGACTTGTTTACAGATCAAAGCTTGTTTACAGATGAACATTTGCTGATCGAAAGCTTAACAAGCACTTTTATACATATCTTAAGCAGCGAAGGAATCAATCGCTTTTTAAGAAAAGTGAGGAAGTGCTTGTTAAGCTTATTTTCAGCTTCAACTAAAGCTCCTTATAAGCGTGAAGCTTGATAAAATCACCAGATCTAGATGTTTATGAGCTGAATAAAGGCTTTTATTTCTAAAGTACAACATTTGTCCAGCCTGAGGTTGAATAAAAACGGTTGTAACAATGTTTAAACAGCAACAAATTGTTACCTGGGAAGGTCCCTCCACTGCCCCTGGTTTATCGTATGCCAGTGCTGTGTCAAGTGAGTTCGTCAACGATTCCCCATTTACCTCGGAGGAGAACTTGTGCCACTCGTGGCAGAGGTCATCATCATCCTGCGCACCTGCAAGACCCGATCTGAACAGCTTCATGCTGTCCTGTCCCTTGTCACTAAGCATATACCACGAAGTTATAAAGATTGCAAATTAGAACGCTTGTTCGCCGAAGAACAATCATATCCTCAACGCCAAGGAGATCGACATTGCCATCATCACCGAAACCCATCTAAGGTCGGAAGTCAACATCTACCTATCGGACTTTCGGCTCTTGAGACTCGACAGAAGCAGTGCAAGAGGAGGGGGAGTAGCTGTTGTTGTGAGGTGCAACATCAACTGCCACTTGCTGCCGTACTTTGAACCCAAAATTATCGAAGCCATCGGGGTTGAAGTTGGCACATCGCTTGACCCGCTGCCCCAAACAAGTCAACAACAGGGATGAGTCAGCAGCGGACCTTCGACGAGATATCATCAAACTGACTCGGCGGTGGCAAAAATACATCATCGCTGGCGACCTGAATGACAAACATCAACCTTGGGGCAACAGTCGGCGCAATTAAAACGGCACCATCTTGAACAACGATCTGCAGGAGGCGCAGTACAGCATCTTGAGTCCGGTGCTCACGCCACCATCGATATCTACATCCGCAATATGGGCAACAACATTTCGCAACCTTTCGTGTATCAGGAACTCAGCTCGGACCACTATCCGGTGGTGGCTGAAGTGGGTTCCTCAATCAACAAGTTCCAAGCATCGCGGCGAAACAACCATCGGGTAGATTGGTCGCAGTTCCAACACTGCGTTGACACCAGTATCGACTATGACGTACACCCGGAAACGACCGTGATAGTGTCTGCGCTCTATCGATGAAGTTATTTCCCGGGCCAGGGAGCAACCTGTTCCAGTATCCAGACAGGTGAGTAATACTCTGAAGCTTGACAGGCCCACCAAAGACCTCATTAGACTCCGCAACACGATTCGTAGGCAGTACCAGCGTACTGGGCTGCCTAACCTGAAGACAAATTGCAACCGTTTGAAAAAAATCATGGTGAATCTCAGAAATATATCGATTTTGCAAACAAGATTCGCTCTCTCCCAGATTGTGCTAAGCCATTCTGGAAAATGGCAAAGATTTTTAAAAATAAGCCGAGGCCCATCCCTCCCCTTTCCTCTCTTAATCAGAATTCGGATCCATCCTTACTCATACACCCCAGTTGAAAAGGCTAATGCTCTTGGTCAACTCTTTGTGAATTCACATAACCTTGGCCAAGCCATGGTTAATCCCTACAAGCCTGCAGTAGTGGAGGCAATGTCTAGAGTCGCTGCCACCCCCGTAGTTGTCCCTGACGAAAGTAGAATAGCGGCTGATGAGATGATAGCAGCAATTAAATCAAGGCCGCTGGTGTCGATGGAGTGGTCAACCTCGAATTGAAAAACTTGAGTGTTGACTTCTTCGAGCACCTTGCAGCGGTCCTCAATAAGTGCTAGAAGTTAGCCAAAGTGATTCCAATACACAAACCTGGCAAAGAGAAATCTGCTGCTTCCTTGGAGGAGTCCAAATTCATGTCATCTATCAATCAACTGTCCATAACCTCGATCAATGTTCCCGAATGCAAACCACTCGGCGAGGATACTGAGATACATAGGCAAGATTTTGAACAGTGGAAGGATCTTTTGGTAAATTCTATGCAGCTCGCTGGAATTACCGAGGAGTCCACTCAATTCACTATCTTCAAGGTCAAAGCAGGTCCCCGTTTGCTGGAAATTTACAAGAATACGAAATCGGATGACCAGGCCCCGGATGCAGCTGTCAATCCATTCACAAATGCGCTGTATCGACTCAAAACATATTTTGGATCGGGCTCAGATGTGCTGCTTCTGCTTCTGCTGAATTTACTGCTGCTGTATTTGCTGCTGCTGCTGCTGTTTCTGTTGCTGCTGTTTCTGCTGCTGGTGGTGGTCCATCACCAAAATTCGTTACAAGAATGCCTTCAACGAGCTTAGGTTCTTCATATTCAACGCACAGGACTTTCATCCAATGTAACTTTTACAATTTAATTCATGTTCATTCATGTGTTCTGAAGGATTTCTCCGTTTAAAAGGTTAATTGTTCTCCTAGTATGAATTATTAGTTTTGAATTACTGTTTGCGGGAAAAATATTTTTACTACGGAAAACCTTTCTCTTCATTTGCAATTGTATTAAAAAACATTGCTCCAATGTCAACAGGATTTATTTTTAGAAAATAGAAAAATAGCATTTCATGTTTCAAAAATGCATTGCACACAAAAGTTTTGATTGACTTTCAATTTTCAACAGATTTCGTCAACTGAAATTCTCGATTTCGACGGAAATAAATAACATCGTCAATTGAAAGAAACGATGTTTCAGCCCAATCAGGCTTATCAGCTTTTATTTTGGCTAGCCACGCAACTTCCGCGGAAACTTCCCCGTTCTTTAGAAAGCTCAGGTGGTTTTGTAAAACGTTTGCTGGAATAGTGATTTTGATCCGGGTTAGTAGAAAAAAAAAGTGTGGCTAAATATTGCCTTACTAAAATATCAGTTTACAACTAGGGAAGCCTTTGTAAAAAGTGTGAGGACGCTTTGCTTTCACAGGCAAGCTTCAGTAATTTTGTAAAGGTAAATGCGTCATCTATGAAAATTATAAAATACTTTCACGGTGATATCTTTGAAGAAACTAGCCCATCAAACAAGGGTGTACCCCTCGGATCTTGGATTCGGAACGACCGAGTAAAGGACGGATTCCTTAATTGAGGTCGACTCGCATTGAAGTTACAGTACACGTGTTGGACTGATCGGAATCGAAAAAAAAAAAACGGATCACTCCTAGACTCATACCGAAGACATCATATCAAGAAGAATGGCAACTTTGCCAGAATCCAAGCGACAGATACAGTAGCGGCAGATACACTGCACTTGAGCGGAGGTGGAAGAAACGCATAGAAAAATGAGCAAACACACAAACCTTTCTGTCGTGACCGGACCTCTGCATCGTGCATCCTCTTGGATGTACTATTAAAATTTATTTTTTGCTGTGTACATGAGTGCGTCATTGGAACGGTACTAATGGATATTTTTGGTCGCTATTGAAAATTTGGTCGATTGCTGTTTTTATGTATGGGTCCAAATTAGGGGCATTTACGCTGACATTACATCCATTTCCCCTATATATATATTGCAATGTTCAACACGCATTGTTGATCTGAATTGATTATAAGCTGTGATGAAAATCAGAGGGCCATTACTGAAGCACATTTTGAAACCAACATGTTGATAGAATATCGAAGCAACCTGTTAATGAATTGCATGAAAAATTCGCATAATTATTCACTAGGGGCAATGAAGTAAGTTTGTGCTGAAATCAGTGCTGCAAAATATCAATATCAATTCCTACAAAATGCTGAGGCTGTGTTCCATTTGGTGAATTTTCACTTTAATTTTGTCGTGACCGGACCGAGGTTTCCAGCCTCGGCCACGGCTACACGAATTAGCAATGCAGCTGCCACGGGTGCGGCTGCTTCTGCTTCTGCTGAATTTACTGCTGCTGTATTTGCTGCTGCTGTTTCTGTTGCTGCTGTTTCTGTTGCTGCTGTTTCTGCTGCTGGTGGTGGTCCATCACCTCCAAAATTCGTTACAAGAATGGCTTCAACGAGTTTAGTTTAAATGATCTTTATTTTAGTTTAACTTGGACGATTACCATATAAATTTTTACTAAGTGATTTAATTGCTTTCTTCATCTTTAGGTATGGGCAAAATTCAAAATTTGTTTTACAGAATTAGTCCTAGACTTAGTACACGGTCGACCACCTTGGTGGGATTGGTTTGTTTTGTTTTTAGAATTTGAAAAGAAACTACTTAATACTACTATTGACAGCTTAAAACTAACCTACTCTACTATATACACTTAACCTACTATGTACAAATTGCTTATTAAAGCATGTTCAGAAAGATTGCATTTTTGAATAAATTTAGTTGTCATATCATCAATTTTGGAATCTACTTTGGGAATTTCTGCCTCTTGATGGAGGTCTGCTATTCTTGTGTCGAATGGACGATCTAGGATCATCCTCAACACTCTATTCTGTGCAACCTGGATTTTGTTCCTGTGGGTCTGAGCGCACGATTCCCACACCGGGGCGGCATAGAAGATCGCGGGGGCTATGATCTGTTTGTAAACAGCCAGTTTGTTTTGCCTTGAGAGGCGGGATCTGCGGCAAATGAGCGGATACAAACACCTAACCAAGGCGGAGCACTTAACTAGGGTTTTCTCTATGTGCGAGCGGAACAGGAGCTTCTCATCGAACAACATCCCGAGATAAGTAACATCAGTGGACCACTCGACCCTTGTACCATCCATTATTACGGTACAGGAGGGAGACGGTTTAAGTTTTGGCGATTGTCTGTGAAGGAACATGATTGCTTGGGTTTTCGAGGCGTTGATTTTGATTTTCCACGTGGTGGCATAATCAGTAAAGGTGTCAAGGCATCGTTGGAGCTTGTTCGTAATTTCACGAGGCATCCTACCCTTGACGGCTATCGCGGTGTCATCTGCGAACAGAAAGAACACGCAACCGTCTCCTAGAAGAGGGATGTCCGACGTGTAGATGCTGTAAAGCAGTGGTCCCAGCAGGCTCCCTTGCGGAACACCTGCTGGGATCGGAAATTGTCCCGAAAGGGAACTATTCAACGACACCCTGAACGACCTTTGCTGGAGATAGTTACGGGTGATTTTCACAAGGTATGGTGGAAAGTTAGAGTTACAAAGCTTGTATATAAGTCCGTCGTGCCAGACATTGTCAAACGCCTTTTCGACGTCTAATAAAGCCATGGCTGTGGACTTGGATACAGCTTTGTTACTTCGGATGTTATTCATCACCCGCACTAGCTGATGATTGGTGGAATGCCCCTTGCGGAACCCGAACTGTTCCGGAAGAAGAATGTCATGTTCCTCCACAAACTTGTTTAGTCGGCTGAGGATCAATTTTTCGAACAGCTTGCTCAGCGCTGAGAGCAGGCTAATCGGTCTGTAGCTTGACGGTAGTGAAGGGTCTTTCCCAGGTTTGCGGATCGGGATGATTTTTGCCACCTTCCAGATGCTTGGAAAGTAGTGCAGCTCCAAGCATCTGTTGAGGATGGCAGCCAGCAGCGAGTGGACCTTCGGGCTGAGATTTTTCAACGCTAGGTTGAATATTCCGTCAAACCCGGGAGCCTTCATGTTTTTACTATATTTCAGCGCTGAGCAAATTTGTTCCTCTATAATCCGTTCTTCTGGAGGTACGGCACAAGGGGAGGTATCTAACGTCTGGACGCACTGCACAACCTGGTTCTCGAGTGGACTTGGGATTGTAGAGCCAAGCAAATGCGACTGGGCAATGTGCTCCCCAATTGCATTGGCCTTCTCTTCGTTGGTTATAAGCCGTTCGTCATTGACTCTAAGTGGTGGAATGGGCTTGGGGTGAGACTTCAGCACCTTGGCAACCTTCCAGAATGGTCTGGAACGGTCGTCCAGGTTCTGAACGAGCCGCCCGAAACTCTCGTTCCGGATTGAGATCATTCTGGAAGCGATCTGCCGATTCAGATCGACCATTTCGCATTTACACTGCAGATCCCCAGTCCGCTGAAACTGGCGTCTACGAACATTTCTGAGCCGAATCAAGAGTTTGGTGTGGGAATCAATTGCTTGAAACTTACCCCTCACAGGAACTCGTCGAACGCACTCTTCGTCAGCCATGGATATGGCTTGATGGAGACCCTCCAGGGCCCGGTCGATGTCCTCCACTGTGTCGAGCGGTGGATTGTCGTCGATGTGGCGGTCGACCACGCGCCGAAACTGGACCCAGTTGACTCGATGGTAGTCCTTCCGCAGGCACGGTGCAGGGGCGACGTTGCAGCCCAGCTCGGTCAGCACCGGTTGGTGGTCCGAACTCAGGTCGTTGACGGCAACCGGCTTGGCTAATCTGGTGTTTGCCAAGAACAGGTCCAGCGTCGATGGGTTGCCCGTCGGTGATGTGAAGGTTGGTTCGTCCGGAAACCAGACGGAATAGAGACCATGCTGGGAATGGTCGAATAGCAGGCGGCCGTTCTGGTTCTGCTGGTAGTTCCGCCAGGCCTCGTGCCGGGCGTTCAGGTCCCCTCCGATTACGAAGCGGGCATTGATGCGGGTTATGATGGCAAGGTCGTTCTTGAACTGCTGTGCTGTACCATTGCTAACGGTACATTGCCGGGGGCAGTAGACAACGATGAACCGGACGTTTCCGGTCGATGTTTCCACCTCAACGCCGACGGCCTCGATGATGGAAGTGCGGTAGTGGGGTAGGGTGCAGTACTTGATGTCTTTCTTGATGATGACCGCGACATCGCTCCCCCTGGAGCTGGTGCGATCAAGCCGGACAATGCTGTGGTCGGGCAGCCAGAAGCTGTCACCGGTCCCGGTGGGTCTCGGTGAGAAGGCCCACGTCGATGTCGTGCTTGCGGAGGAAGTCTGCAAGCTCAATGTTTTTCGCCCCTACGGAGCGAGCGTTCCAGTTGGCAATCTTTATGGGTTCACGGTCCATAATTAGCGACGAAGGAGATGATAGCTTGGAGCTGTTGTGTTCTTGTTGCGCAGGTGCGCTTGATGATGATGGCCTGGGCCAACAGTGTGACGATCTCATCCGTTGACAGCGGAGAATCGTCTGTAGCTTCACCGGTTGTACCGGCCAATCCCGGAGCAGGGGGATCCGTCGATGGCCCGGAGGCTTGACCGGGTACTGCAGCGGCAGCCAACTGGGCAGCAGCCAACTGTTGGTTGAGCGGGAGCGGCGGCAACACTGGAATTGGCCGTGATTGGACCGGTGATAACGGAGGAAAGTTCTGCGCGTTGTTTTCTGGAACCTTCTTGCGACCGGGCTGGCTGTTGGACGAGGCCTTCTTCCGGATCTCGGCGTATTCGGCCCGCTTCGGACAGGCCTTACTCGTGGCCTTGTGGGCGGCACCGCAGTTGGCGCATGTGGGAGTGGCTTCCTCGATGCTGTCGCAGTTGTCGATCTTGTGGTTTTTGCCGCATTTGATGCAGCGGCTGGCCATGCGGCAATTCCTGGTGCCGTGCCCGAACAATAGGCAGTTCGAGCACTGAGTGACGCCACGGTGGGTCGGCTTATACCGCTCCCACTTCACTACGATGTGGAACAGTGTGCGTGTCGTCTGGAGATCCTTCACGGTTGTGGAGTTCTTCTCCAGATGGACCAGGTAGAGCTGGTCACGATACTTGATGGCCTTGCTGCGGGTCATCTTGTGGACTTCGACCGGCTTGAGACCGTTCGCCTTAATCGCGTCCATTAAGGTGGTGGTGTCCATGTCGTGGAGCCCGCGCAGCACCACTTTCAGCGGCTTGGTGGCCTCGATGTCGTGGGAGAAGTACTCCAGCTTCATCCTGTCCAAGAGGGCCTGAACTGCGTTGAAGTGTTTTTCGGCCGGGACCATCAGTTTGTAGCCTTCCGTGCACCGTTGAATGGTGCAGCGAAGGCCCTGCTTAATGTAGAAATCCAGCTGCTCCCATAGCCCGGGAGGGAAGCCCTTCACATAGAAGGGTGGCAACTTAACTTTTTTCGGCACCGTCTCAGGGTCCGACTGCGGCTGGGCTCCGTTCTGCAGGGCCGAGAACGGATTGTTGCTCAGCAGCTTTTTTGCTGCTGATGCGGTGGCGCTGCTGTCTTCAGGTCTGGGTCGTTTAGTTCCGGGAGGCCTCGGCTGCGGGTCCGCAACGCCTGTCGGGATGGGCAATGGGGTTTTCTTCTGCTTCTTCTGCTTCTTCGATTTCTTACCCATGGCTGGGTCAGCGAGAGCGTCACTACACAACGCGGAGCTAATTCGACTTGCGAACGAACGAACGAAACTAGAGAGAATTCAAATCGACTGAACTGCTCAACAGTCTGGCAGCGAATGGGCTGAGCTGGTGGCTTCAACGAGCTTAGGTTCTTCATATTCATACCTGCTAACCTATCAAAATTCTCTAACCAATGAGATTCCGTTTACATACGGACTATCACGCTTCACGCTCACTCGATTCTACTCATTATTTATTCAACACTAACTCTATCTACTACATTCTTCCCCTCTTCTACTCTCTTTAATTGAGGAAGGGTGGCATTATATCCTCCCATTTGGGGAAATTTCATCTACCCTCTCGGGAGACTTTCATCTATCCTCTCAGAGATATTTCATCCATCAGGTCATAATTATTTTCAAACTTGCCACACTGATATTTATTTCAAATTTATCAATATCTGTTATCATTATTCATCAAAATGACTACCTATTTCAATATGATGATTGAAATCAGTGTCACCAATTTCAATCTCGTACATGAACATTACAGTTCTATTCAAGTTTGCGATGAGCTAATTATCCATTAGGTCATGGTAAATTTCTTCAGTTTACTTTTCCATCCATCATGTTGTATCAATTCTTATTTACCATCAATCAGGTCATGGTAATACTTATTAACCATCCACTATACTAACTATTTTGCTTCGTAAAATAATACATATTTTGCCTCGGAGACCTTTCACTCCGGAAATTTTCAAGAATCCTTATTATTATTATTTTAAGCATAGTTTATCATCCTTCATGTCATGG